CTTCTCATGTGCTTTTTCTTCAGCTTTATTCTTTAATTTAGGTTTAAATTTCTCATCAAAACAGAAGAAATCAAATGGTGCGAATTTGAAAATGTTTTTATCATAAAATTTTTTATCGGTAACAATTGCTTGAAATGCTTGAGTGTTAGGAAGACTTGGATCACCAGCAATAGCCCAATAAGATGAATCAGTATCACCTTCAATGAAATGAAAACAATTAACATCCATGCATTTATACATAAAATCATAAATGAAAACCAAATACCAGTATTTAGCATTATCTAAAGTGAAGAATGCCTCTTGTAAACATGTATCACATCTATAAAATCTATCTTTAAGCATCACTTGATATGTATCCTCACCTATTTCTCTTATGTTTTTAAACTTATTTGACATACATGCAACGCGTGCCTTCTGTGCATTCATTATTTTAGTCTTTGCGTAATTTTGTGTATTCATTGCATCGTAACCATATGATCCATTAAGTGAAATCTTGCAAATAAACTTTTTCCTTTATTTCCTTCTAATTCAGCCTTTTGTCTTTCGTTCATAAATTCGTTCGCAAATTCATTAAAACAAGTGTTTTTCGTAAATGTTAAAATTGATTGAATATCATCGATGATAAAATGAAATCTGTCTATTAGATACCAAAGATAATAAGAAGAAAATGGTTGATATTGGTTGTGTGTTGATGCTAACTGAGTTAATTTCCTCTGTTTCTGGTCAACTGGTAGATTGTTTGATTTCATGTAATTATACATAAAACTGCCAATTGTTTTTTCATCTGTGATAATATCTAAGTTTCTTATTATCGGTAAAAAGTTTATGTAATCATTAATGTATTTTTCATCAATGTGACCCTTTACTTCAGCCACGAATAAAGTATTTTTCTTCTTAATTATTCCCAGTGCTTTTGCTTTCTTTGTTGCTGTATCACAAATGATAACACCATTCAATCTTCCCGGCATATACATTTTATGGTCAGTATATTGAATGAAATCATGAGGATTAGATGAAAATGATGAAGGATATAATGAATTAAAATCAACACCAACGAAATGAGTCATGATGTTGGAAGTGTCCTCATTTGATACAGTTTTAGTTTCTGGACTATATGAAAGTTTATTAATGTGCGTGATTCCTTTAAGATTAACACGATGTTGAACATTTGATAGACCACCAGTAATTCCATTACGGAGAATGTGATAAGCTTCAACTGAATCTAAAGTCATTGGTAAATTATTTTTTAATGCATAATTTCTTAAATTGATTCTTAAACGTTGAATGTCTTCATCTTTATTTGATTTCACGACATTGCAATAACAACACATTAACTGACAATTTTCTTTGGTATGTGGTTTTTCATTATCGATTCTATCCAATGTTGGTTTATTTGCATATGTAAACGCTTTACCACACATTTTGCATTTAGATGAAAGGATTAAATCGTGATAGTATTGAAAATCATCCATTGAAACATTATTTTTAGTATCTCTTTCTGCTTTTTCATCTTGTTTCTTATATGATTCAATTTTATATTTCCAATACTTTTTCGTTAATTCAAAACTTGATTCTATCTCTTCCTCAGGATATTTTTCATTAGGATTAAAGTCTTTATATGCTAAAGCGTAACGAATCAATGAAGCATTCGATGATAAAGAAAGATTATGAAGCATATCAATTTTATAAACAAATGTTTCTTCAATAATTTTATCGATTGGGTCAATCATAATTTCAACATCTTTATTGCAATAATGAATAAAATATTCTAATCTATTCTTAAAATTTTTAGCATCATTGAGATATATTTGATAATCACTATCTGATATAGTTTCTTGAGTTAATGCTGAATAAAATGAATCTTTCGTGAATGGTTCCACTTTATATAATTCTTCTTCGTAATTCTCCCACGTGATGAATTGATAAGGGAAAAAGGATTTAACACGTGATTTATTGTTTCCGAAATCTTGAGTGAATTGGTCTAATGTCCCACCCGCTATATAATTTCTGATGTCAATAAATCTCAATTCATATGGAACGTTTGTTTTCTTTACAATGATTTGCTTAAATTGTGAAGATGAACCCAGCATTGATTTTATTTTCCATTTTGCAGTGTTTAAATCACGAAGAATTAAATTTAAATCAAACTTTCCCGAATTAAAACCTATGATATTCACTTTATTGAATTCCTCATCTAGAAGTTCTTTAAATGCTTCCTTCTGTTTTTCATTTAATGTATGGGACAAAGTCCCCGCCGTTTGCGGCTTCATTAATTCTTCATATTGTTCAATATTTGATTTAGCAACTAATGAACAGGTTGAAAATAAAAACTCAATCCAATCAGAAATAAAAGAATCACTCGAAGTTAAGCAAAAATTTCTCGTATACGTTTTATCATTTAATTTAACCGTTGATGATACCATGAATGGTTTTAAGTAAGCATTCAAAGTTGCACACTCAGAAAGTTGTAATTCTTCTTTAGTCTCTAATGTTTCAAAGTCAAAAGTAATATAATATCTTGTCGGTTTATAATATTTCTGCAAATTGTGAGCTAATAACCACTGATATATCTTCTGTTTCGTAATATGTGGTGCATATGGTTGCTGGGTCTTTTGCAATTGAACGTCTTGAATTAATCTTCTATTATTTTCTTTACATTTCTCACAATGCTTTAAAAATCTTCTTTGGTTTTTCCTTTCTGGATCATCACGGATAGAATAAACTTCTTCTTTACAATATGGACAAACTTTATAGCCGGTGAGTGCTTCAACGTCTGTTATTCTGTCAGCGTGAAGTTTTCCACATGGACTCTGTGTTAATAAAATATTTACTGTTTCAAATTCTGGATCTATCATTATTGATTCCACTAATGGAAAGTCTACCTTATTTATGTCCACGTCTTCTGGTTGAGGATCACAATAATAGAAATCAATATTAACATTTAACATTCTCGCTAATCTCTCACTTTCTGATGAAATGTCAAACCCTTCATATGCATCTATTGCTTCATTTAAATAGCTTCTACGAGTTTTAGGATTAACACCATCAGGAATGTTATAGAAGCGTTTAAATAACCTTCTACCTTCTGCTCTAATTTGATTATCATTCATTTTAGCGGTTCCGTTTTTGTTCATTTATGTAAGAATAAAAAAATAAATAAAAATAAAGTTTATTTTTTAAAGCCCATAAAATGAATTAAGAACACATAAATTTTTATCATCTGCGACGTGACGAATACATTTTAATTTACTCAAGAATGCGTACCCTGATACATTAAATCTAATTCCTGTCTTATTTAATTTCACAACTTTGAAAAGGAATGTATGAATAGCTATAAAATGATGAGAAGATGTTTTATGGGTTGCTTCCATTTTTTCTGAAATAAATGAATAAATATAATGCTTATACGTTTTCATATCTTTTATGTTCTTAATAACGAATGGTATAGACCTTTCAACTTCGTCTTCCTTCGGTGCTGTTCTTTCATATGAAACATTATTAGTATCTTCAACAATGAAACCGCAATCACATAAAATTTTATATGTTCCAATGGTTTCTTTTGATATTTTATCTAATAAATCAAAAACTTTATCAACACCTGTGCATTTGTTTAAATAATAATTTGTGTAAATATCATGATCTTCTTTCTTAATCGTATTAGTTGCATATGTCACGTTTTTAAGAGCTTTTTTGAATTTCTCAGAATCGAGAGGGGGTGAAAATAAGATACAAGGGTATTCTTCATTATCAATAAATTGTAACTTATGTTTACGTATAAATTTAGTACCTTCTTCTGAAAGTGTTTCGTCTATTTCACCATCTAATAAATTTTGTGTTGATTCTGAGACATAATTTTTATATCTTTCTTCATGAGATTTCTGTACTTCTGATTCTGAAGCTGGGATATTCATTAAACCCTCTACTTCATTTTCATTATATTTTTCAACTTCTCTTAATTCCTTAATTTTTTCATCTATTTCATCTCTTATTTTTTTCAGTCTTTCAATTTCATTGTATTCATCATCTTTAATCCGTTCTTCATAATATTCAGGGAAAACATCAGGTTCTTTAGGTTTTTCTTCTTCAGATGTAGGATATAAGAAATTTATAACATCATCTTTATTCATTTTTCCATCATAATCTAAATCATTTAATAACTCGGCAAATTTTTGACAATTTCTTAAATAATATTTATTAACTTCATAACCTACCTCCTCTAATATATCCTTTATTTCCTCGTTTGTGAATCCTAATTTTTTAACGTTGTTAGTTTTGACGCTCATTTCATACAAAATAAAAAAATAAAATAATAAACATAACTAAGTTTTAATTTTTCGTAAGAAGTTTATTTTATTTTTATATATAAATCATTCTTAAGGTCAAACAGACTTCTTATTTTTATATGAATTCCATCCTCTTTAATGTCATCAATGATTTCCATTTCATTATTTTCAATTTCTTCTTCTCGTTTATGAGGTCTTTGATTATGACTCCATTGATTCCATGAAATTAAATATTCTTTATCATTATATTTATACCTCATTAGCTTATTTTGGCTTTCATATTCATTTAATAATTCACAATCTTCATTTTAAATTGAAGTTTAACCCATTCAGGATTTAAACAATGTTTAATTAATCGCGGAATATCTGACATCATCTATATATAGCTTCTTTTATAAAAGATAAAAAAAATAAATTATTTTAAAATTAATGTTAATTTTTTTAATGATTTATAAATAAATATATTTTAATGCATCGTCTATATATAGATGTAACAAAAAAAGTCACTAAACCCGTCATATCCTACTACTTCAAAAATATAGTCAAATTCGGTTTAATGACTATTAAATGTTAATATAAAGCTTATAAGATAATTGTTAGCAAATTATGTAAGGACATTTCATGCAATTTTTCTAAATTTGAAAAAATGTGCTCTAAATGAAATAAACATCTATTATTTAGCACTTATATACAAGGAAAGTAACTCCTATACAATGATTATATTGTTATCTGCATGAAATCTTGCAATGGAATAATCTTGAAATCATCAGCCGGGTGAAGGATGGATGAAACAGAACTCGGAATAGCCAATTCTCTGCTGTCAAGTTCAACAGTTGTCTTAAGAACTCCATAAACAGAATTTACTGTTCTACTAGCTATTTTTTCGTACTGCTTAGGGAATCGAATGTTATTTGCTAAGAACAATGCAGCAAATAAGTCGCCTGGCCCGTTGAATTTACGATCGAATCTGACCAACTCAATAGCAAATTGAATTTGGCCCTTTTCGAATGAAAAGAAGACGAAACTACGCTTCCATTCTGTACTTGTAATGACGACGGTTTCTGGACCTAATTCATGAAGTTTTGATACGATTTTGAGTAATTCTGCTTGGTTTGTCATCTTTAGTCCAGTCAGCCATTCAGCTTCATAGGCATTTGGTGAAATTATTTGAGCAACTGGAACTAATACTGTTTTGATTAATTCCAAACATTCTTGGGAAACGTAGAATCTTCCATTATCACCTAAAACTGGATCACAGAAGTAGCATACATTCGATCCAAGTTCTTTTCGTAAACTTGCAAATTCTTTTATGATATTTGGATCTCCAACGTAGCCTGTTAACATGTGAGTATATTCTGAAAGGATGTTATTTAGACGCAATCCTTCAAGGAGATCATGAAGTTGATCTTGATGAAGCTTTGTTCCCTTTACAACCGGATATGCAGTATTTGTGGAGAAATTTACAGTATTGATTGGATCGCAATCAATACCACTCATTTCGATGGCCGGAACAGCGGATCTATTTCCGCATCTTCCATGTGAAACTCCGCTTTGAATGCTAAGAACAAGAGGCTTAGTCATATGGCTATTTCACCCTTCAAATTTTCACAAGACCCTATAAATTTTTCTCCATTCAATTTTTTTATCCATGCTGCAGATTAGAACGATTCATAGTACTTCACCAACCTCTTAATAATTCAAACCAATTTTAGCAGAAGCATTGTTATTCTTCATCAAATACTTCATGAATGCAAAATGAGATATTCATTAGTATAAAATAAAGATAATTGCATATAGTATGACATATTGATGACATAACAATAGAAACTTGGTGAAAAATATTTTCAAAATGATTTTTTTCAATTAATAAGCAAAGAATTAGAGGATCTAGTTTTCTAAAATTCATCAGTATTTAAAATATGCAAGTTATGTTATATATATAATTTGATATCAAAATTTATCGATTATGATGATATGAAAGGTATTACCAACTAAGCTCAATGCATATGCATTTCAAGTCACCACTTATAATATTCAATCATAAATTGCTTATTATTATAGGTTAATCAATCAATTTAATAAAATGCTTCTCACTTATTGTCTTATTAGTAAATAGCTAATAAATATTTAGACGCATTGAAATATATGGCAAAAATCCATGAAATGGTCAGTAATGGCTTTCATAAGACCAAAGACCGACATAAAGACTGAGGAGACCGTTTAATAAATTATGAGAGGCCTATCCGGAGCCAGTGAATCTCCTTCGGGGAAGCGTCCAATTTCATTTGAAGACTTGAAATGTCTCATCAAATCTCCACCTGATATTGATGATCCAGAGGTTTTATCATTTATTCTAAAAAATCAAGAAAATACAATTAAACGCAGTCTTAAGCTATTAAATCAAAATATTAGCGTTGTTTATCAAAATTGGCCTGATGCCTCTCCTGTTAGAATCTACATTGCTTATGAATTATGCAATAATGATATTGAAACTTTGTTATTAGAGCTTTCAAAACCAGAATTTAACAGAAAAGTTGATGAAACAATGAAAGAGCGCTTAACTGGTGTACATGACACAACCTCTTCTGAACATCAGGAGGAAGAAGATGCTGAAGAAGAGGAGGAATTTCAAAAAGGCGATAACGATTATATAAATCACGAGCCTCCACCAATGTACGAGCGTAAGAAGCGCTCGCATGAAAAAAGCACATATTCATCTGATGATGATGGTCAAAGAATACGAAGACGACGTCCTAAAGCAGAAACAGTACCTATTGATCCATCAGAACCTTGTCCAAAAGGTGTAAGTACAGAAGCATGGCTTCATTGGAGCCCAGCAAAAAGAAAATCATATATTCAAGGAATGAAAAATCCAAACGCATATTTTTATCGAAATGTTGCACCAGGTGAGAAATATATTACAGGACCTTTCACTCCTGAAGAAAAGAAGATATTTTTAAAGAGAGTTGAGGAATTCAAGGATAAAACAACAGGAACGATTACTGGTGAATGGGGTTTGTTCTCCAGAGCTTTGCCAGGACGTGTTGGCTATCAATGCTCCAACTTTTATCGTAAGCTGATTAATAGTGGTGAATTATATGATCCAAAATATGTTAGATCTGATGATGGAATGATTCACCATACAAGCCACTTGAAGAGTGCCCATGAAAAGGTACAAAATACACTTGAAAAGCCAAAGAAGTTTTCTCATCATGCAAAGCCAATTGATGACGATTGTATTAACTCTATTTCATTCTTTTCTTCAACTCTTCTTGCTGAACAACAGAAACATCCTTCACAATATCCTTCTTCCACAAGTAGGTCTGAATCTTCCGATGGATTAAGCTTATATGAAAGATATGCTGCAAATAATCCAATTCCAAACTGGACAGATCCTCTTACTGGCGAGATCATGAAAGCACCAGCTGTTTCTCCAGATTTGACATTGCTTGATTATAACACTTGGCTCCAGACAATCAAACAGACACACGAAGATCCATTCACAAAGAAGCCTATTACTAAAAGACAGATTACTGTTCTTAGCAAGGAGAACTGGGATGAATTCAAAGATAGAATTATTGAAAAATATGCAGAGCAATATGCTCCTTCTGATTTTGTTAATGAATAAATTATATATTTGTGTTAATATTTACAAATGGCCGATATTTTTGGTGAAAGAAACTTTTTTCAAAAGAAAAACACTATCAATAACAATGTGAACATCTACATATAAATTACTTAAGCTATGTGTGGATATTATAATGCATAATGTCACACTTGATACAAAATTCATGAGATTAATGCTAAAATCATTTCCAAATTGAATAATTTTAATTATTTTCTGACTGTTTAGTTAGTCATATATCACGGTGCATTTAAATAAGATATAAAATTTTCTCGAACGTTTGAAATTTTGGAAATGGAAGGTCCTAAAATCTTTACTATCAACGTAATTGGAAGCACAGATTTGGACCTAGAGCGTCCAATGGTTAGTATTGGATGCCGAGTATCAATTGTTGATATTATGACAGGTCAATTAATTCGAAAAACATCAGATTCTGGACAAGCTGGAGAAAAATCTTCAAGAGCAGTTGTATCAGCATACGAATCAACAGATTATATCGCTCCAATGACAACAAAACCAGTTCCTATTATTGATATTGCTCAATTAGCTCCTTTTTGGGATGAATCTTTCAGATATAACGAACTTGTGGACAGTTTAATTACAGAACATGTTGTGATCTTCTTTGAAATCCTTGGTTTTGATTTACAGCCACATATGGATCATTTTACTCCGTTATGTTGGGCTTTCTTAAGACCTCGTGCAGCAGATGGTAAACCAAACGTAGATTTTATGTGCAGGTTACAATTACATAGTTATCCTAAAGACTTTAACCCTCAAATCATTGGTGCCAATGTTCCAGTATCACAATTACTTGCAGGAAGGAACAAAATACCAGGATACCTAACAATAGAAATCAAATACAATGAACCAGAAGATCAATACGATGTTACAGGACGTCCAAAGCATTTCTTCCATCGTGAAGTTGGTAATGAAGATATTAACAAGCTTATTCAACGTGATACTACAACAACAGAAGGTGAGACTGCAGGTACAGAAGAATCCAAACGCAAGTTTGTCAAGAAAATCAGACCTACAAACAGAAATTGCACGATTCCTCGTGCACTTGCTGGCCTTGTTCCTATCGGAGAACATGGTGCTCATGCTCTCACGTTCAATCGCAATGGAGATCTCCTTGCTGCTGCTGTTCAGATCGGAAGTGCTTACTCAATTCAGTTATTCTCAGTTTACGATTTCACAAAACCACCAATTACAATCAAGAATGCTCACCTAGGACTTATTTACGAATTACAATTCGATACTTCAGATACTCATTTATTATCTGCTTCAGCAGATGGATCTGTTAAAGTTTGGTATGGATCTGGATCAACATTTACTCTAAAATACACTTTACAACATACAGAATACGTTTATACCGCTAAATTCTATCCAGATGAGCCAAGATGTATCGCAACAGGCTGCCACGATGGCAAAGTCAGAATCTGGGATGCACCAAAGAAGAATGTTGTAGCTATTTTAGAAGGAAACAAAGGAACAGTTAACTCAATTACATTTTCTCCAGATGGAAAGACGCTTTACTCTGGTGACTCATCAGGCCAGATATGCGTCTTTAATACAGATATAAGAGGCGGATCCAGACACGATATCGTCAGAAAGCTGATCGCTAAAGATGAAGAAATCAAAGATGTTCCGATTACTCATCTTTCAATGGAATTATCGCCCTATTCATTGCTTGTTCATACAAGGGATAACGTCATTAGAATCTTTGAAACAAAAGTTATGGTTCCTTCGCAAAGATACACAGGAACAATTTGTACAAAGTTTAATATTCCTTCCGTTTTCTCTCCTGATTGTCAATTCGTACTCGCGGGTTCTGAAGATGGAACTGCAAAGGTATGGGCAGCAAGAAAGGCAGATATTATCGAAACTCCTGAATGGAACTTCAAATTTGATTATCCTGTTACTGCTGTTGCATGGAATCCTGTCGAAAATATGGTGGCATTTTCAAGCTTCGGTCCAAAGCAGCCAATCATTATTTTCAAGGATCCGACACCTCTTCCTGAACAAGGTGAAGATGATGATTTAGATCAGTTCTAATTTTATTATTATATTTTCATTTATTTGTGTGATTTAAAGCTATTAGTTTAAGCTACAAGATTTTTATTTGATGAATGTATTATTCTTTTAGCCAAAAGTAATTTTTTTGTATCAGGAATGCACTCAACATCATTTTAATGTGGTATGATTCGCGCTTAGGGTGCGCGAGGTCGCGGGTTCAATTCCCGCATCACCCCCTTTTCATCATATTTTTTTTCTCTCGATAAAATGTTTTGGATTAATGTGATATATTATGGAATCATTAGTAAGTACATCATACCAAAAAAATGATAATAAATCAATAGTAATAAGTTTATTCATAGGTTAGTGCTCTTAGCAAAAGGTAAAATTAACAATTATAGGAATAACTAACAATAAAACTTTGGACAAGTAATGATTTACTTGTTTAAGTATTCGGGCTTAAGAAATACGAATCTTTCAATCATAATTCAACTAATTTTAAAGAATTTGCTATAAAGTAGGTTTGATATTGATGTACATTTCATTAAGATTGTTAGCCTGAAGATATTCGATTAATTTCGATTTGAAATAATTTGTTCTAAAAGTTATAAGGATGATCTTTGACTACTGTAATGACAACTGAATTTTATGATTTTTTATTAATCTGACATGAATTTACTACTTCCATTATTTCGGGATCATCATTAGTTTCAGGCCAAAAATCGTTATCTTTTACACGAGAATAATCAGCAATCATCTTAGAGTGCTTTTTCATGCATTCAGGAATATTTACTTCTTTTCCATCTTTGCATTTTGCTATCATAGGTTTTTGTTCTACAGACATAATGCAAAAAAGTGACAAAATTTGCAAAAGTCATTTAATTTTATCAAATTCAAGATAAATAACTTCAGCATTATTTCTAGTAAACATTTTTATTAGAAATAAAAATCCAAAATTTCCTGATATCATATTTTTAAACGTACACCTATTAGAAATTTTAATTGGCGTTAAAAAAATGAATTATGATTCTCCAGAATTGGCGCATCTTTCTCCTAATGAAAGAGAGTGCTTTATCAAAGAAACATTACAAAAGAAACGAGTACAGAGAATTATTGAAGCTAGAAAGCAAGCAAGCGAAATGACAAGAAATATTCAGAAAAAATATAAGCAATCGAAAGAAGAATTTGATCAAAAACATAAAAACAAGAAAACTGCCGAAGAACTAGCTCCTTTAAAGAAACAAATAGAAGATTTACAAGCAAGGATTGAATATAACGAAAACAATCGCAGAAAGGCATATATTGACGCTATTGAAAATGAAAACAATAATCAACAAAAGCAAGAAGCCGAAAAACTTCTTACAATGCAACGCCAAAAAGATGCAATTGAAAGATATAACGAAGGATTGATATACATGAGAGATAACGATCCGAACATCCCAATTAAGATGAGACAAAACAGGATTATTGCAGCAAAGGAGGAATCAAATAGAGTTCAAGATATATACGTTTCCAAACGTAAAAAGTTCGTTGAAGAAATGGACAAAGCAGAGAAAGCTCGCGAACAAAATGAAAAGAATGATTATAATGATAAGATGCATCCAAAACTTTCCATCGAAGATTATTCAAAAACTCATATGCATGCTGGAATTGGAATTATCCCAGTTAATAAGGAAGCTGATAAGTATAAGCAAGAACTCGAAGAACACGAGAGACAGGAAAAGGAAAACGAAAAGATGCGCTTCGAAAGCAAGAGGAGAAGAACAAGAGAAGCTTTGAACGATGTCAAGTTCGAGGACGAAGTTGCAATGCTCGAGAACGAACTCAGACAGATAGAGCAACACGAAGTAGACGCAGCTCTTAAGTCAATTGCAGATGGAACATCTAAAGTTAGGGATCAATATTGCTTTGCAGAGAAGAGAATCATGAGACAAGAAAAAATGAAGAAAACATGGCTTGCTGTTGATGATGAACCAAAGCCTCGTGGGCCAGCACCTCAGCCAGAACCATATAGACCACCATCACCAACAAGTTCTTATAGTTCTTTTACTGCTAGTTTGCAATAAGTTATTTATTAAAGTTTATTTGTTTTTTTGATGTTGTTTTATCATCTAGTAAATAATAATATGGAAATAAGCAAAATAGAAATATTTTATTGCGAAGAAGCTTAAGAGAATTCAAATATAGAGCATTCGATTGATGATAGTAACTTTTCGTACGTTAAGAAGATCTGGCCATCAAAAAAGAAGTTAAATTGTAACAAAAAATCGAAAAGTTTGCTTTATTGAGCTTTTTCTTTGAGGGCTTCCTTAGCCTTTTGATCTGCTTCCTTCTGTTTTTGGACTTCGTGATAAATAACACCATGTTCCTTATTTGTAAATCTTTTCATCTTAAATGTATCCTTAAGAGCTGGTTCTGTAGGTGCATGCTTAGTATGTCCAATAGATGCGGCTGTTGGACGTAATGGGTCGATCTTCTTCTTGTTCTTTCCGCCAGTAAGCTCGGCCTTTGCAGCAGCACGCTTCTCCTCTTCTTCTTGCTTAGTCATACGCTGAGCAATAACAGCATTGGAGTGAAGGAATGGATCGGCACGAACATCAATATCATGTGTTGACATACCGTATGTAAAATTAGGGTCTGTATCAGATGGTAGTGTATCTTTCTTTGGTGATTTCTTCTGAACCTTTGATTTTGATCTGACCTGGGCAGAATGTTCTTCAAATTCTTTGATGCGATTATCCCAACCCTGGACGACTTCTGTCATATCTTCATGTTCGCCAGACTTCTTACCGAAGGTCATTTCTTGTAACTGTGATTTCTTCATCAAAAAAATTTAACGAAAAAACGAATTTTCTCGCAGAAAAATTGTATCGATCTGAAATCACTCCGAAGATTTCAATTGTTAATTCATTATATTTAGACGTTGGATAATGTGCATAGGGAAAATTCCATAGTTAATTAAACAAACACTCCAATATTTTCAAAATTTAAACATTTGAGGATCTAGCAAATGATACAATGGGAATAAGCCAAAATTCGTCTGTTCTATCAATCAATTGCATTGGTGGCTATAATTTATATATTTTATACTTTTTGATAAAAAAAATTTGCATTTAATAATGAATAATACGCGCCATCGGTGTTAGATATGCATACTTGTATATTATGATATGATTCCATTTGTCAAATGTTGACAATAATAAATTTTGAAATTATATTAGTTCTCGACTCAAAAGTCACCATACCATACTCTTCATGGTTTAACAGTCTCAGAACATGCAAATAAATAAATATTTGATTCAAGTTCGAAAATTTAGCATGACAATGGCGTCAAAATAAAAAATTTCGATGGTTATAAAAAAAAAAAAAAAAAAAAAAAAAAAGGTAGTGGGGCTTCCAGGGGCTGCGCCCCTTCTAGCCCCGAAGATGTTTAGTATAAAATGAGGTTTTTATTCGGAAAATTGTTAGTCTTCTGGTGTGAATTCGGAGGACTCTTCGTGTTTCTCTTCTTCGTGTTTCTCTTCTTCTTCCTCTTCCATTGCTTCTGGGAAGAAGTCTTCTTCTGGGTCGAAGACATTATATAATGTGTAATTGAATGACACATTATATCTTTCTTTGAGTTCGCTCCTGACAAAGAACTTAGTTCCAGGAATACAGAAGACTTCTGTGCGTTGGAAAAGCTGATGTCCTGGAACAAATTTGGCAATTAGAGACTTCTTTTTTCCGAATTGTTCAGGAGTTTCCATGACGACAGTAACAACATCTCCATCTGCGAGGTCTTGTTGTTGTTCGGAAAGGTAAAGAGCAATGATATAAATGGTTGCTGCGTTGAATTCGAGAAAGTCGAATTCAAATTGTGTAGTCGTATAGCAGTCAAACCATTTTGTACAGTTGTCTCCGAACTCGTCAATGTATTCATCTTGGTCATATCCGTAACTAAAGACTTGGAATTCGGCAATTGTCTTGTCGAATGACCGTTGGATGTTACGAGGAAGATTTTGACGAACTTGGTATAAAGTTCTCAACATTATGAGCTTAGTAAATGTTGGAAAATACTGAACTAAGACATCGCTAAGCTCAATTGGACTTGGAATTGTCTTAGTAAGTTCAATTGAACTAGCAATTGCTTTGTTCAGAACTTCACAGAACTGAGTATTGTATATAGCGTCTGGTTGTGTGTTTTCTTCGGCGTCTTTGAGATATTTAGAGCAAATTTGTTGAAGAATTTCTCTTAATTCGCTGTTAGACTTTTTGGCGGTTATTCTAACAGCTGTGCCAGTTCTTGGAGGTTGTGGGGCTTTGGCTTTGGTTAGCGGTTGAGAATTGTTAATGTTGGCTTCCATTAGACAAAAATAAACTGTTTTTTTCGGACTACTCATAGAAAAGTTTAAAATAAACCGTTTTCGTCAACGGTAACCCCCTCTATTTTTTTATTTTATTTAATAGTTACCGTTGGCAAACCGTTCCATCTCAAATATTGAATGAACTATAAACGTTTTTTGTTTTCTATATATACTTTTTTGTCCAACGGTAAAACTTTTTACACAACGGTTTTTGAGAGTCGTCGCCGTTGACTTTTTTGTAGAGCACTCAAAATAGTACAGCTTTGTCTGGACAAGTAAGGGTCTATCGTCGCTACAGGAAAAGTTACAGGCGTTCCAAGGAAGTATACTTTGAGAAGACTTTCCCCCTTATAGAATGAGATAGGACGGTTATTTTACAAAACTGACAACACTTTGACCGAGTAGTTTTTTGTGCTGAACAAAAAGTGTCATATAAACATCTGTCAAAAACCGCTTTTTAACTTCACTTAAAATGCCACGTAAGCTACGTAAGAATATACGTAAGAGGAAGAGAGCATTGAAACATCCAATAGTAAGACTGACACCACAACAACAGTTGCAACAACAAATGCTGAATGACCCCACTATGTTGCAACAAATGTCAAGCAATCCTATGCTTTTAAACCGAGTTGTTGGTGCACAGAGTGGAGGTTTAAGAGCGGCACTTTTAGCGAAAATGGCAGGCTATGGTGGAGCTGCAGACGGAACAGCTTATAACCCTCAAAGTCAAATGAATTTGAGTTCACTCAAAAATCAAATAACAGATGTCAAAAAGTCAAACATAGACATACAGAAGCAAATAAGTGAAAACGAAAAGAAACTAGAATATGACAGACACACAAAGAAACTAAATGAGTTAAACGTAGAGAAAAAGAAGAAAGAAGAACAACTGAAAGAACTAAGTACAGAGGAATATGCGAAAAAAGTGTCAGAAAAAGCAGCAGAAGTAGCAAAAATGGAACAAGATGTCATAAATTTGAAAAACCATACTACTCAATATAAAATACTGAAAGATGAAGAGATAAAACAAAAAGCCCTGAAGACATATATGGATAGCGATGAGTATAAAAAAGAAGTTGAAGCAAATGTAAAGGCAGAAAAACTTTTACAGTTGCAAAACCAAACCGTACAGTATGAAAACTTAGCACAAGAAAGTAAAAATAACGACGCGGCTATGCAAAAGGCAATGAAAAGCGCAGAATATATAAAAGCCAACAATGACTGGTTAGATGCCCAAGCCAACGCTAAAGCAGCCCAACTCATAGGGTCAATAAGGACAAAAATACAAGCGGATGAAGATAGTTCAAATGAAGCTTTAACAAATGCTGACTTTAAGAACGCCTTCGAAGCTCTTCATAGTAAGGTGAAACAAGTGAACGACTTCTCATCTGGAAAGAAACTGAAGTCTGAAGGTTTCGACAAAGAGTTAAGAGAAGTAGCACAAAATATGACGAAAATAACAGATGCAGCAACGAGACAGGCAGTTCAAAGTGCCTATGACGCCGTTAGAGCAACTGTTGTGGAAAGTCAAGAAAAAGAGTTACAACAGACCAAAACAGACCTAGTAAATGCTTTCTTAAGAACGAAAAGTCAGGTAGGACATTACGCTGCAGATGGAACATATGTGCCAGCTGGTGGAACTTATATACCACCAAACCCTCCAAGAGAAGCACCTGCACCAGGACTACCTAAAACATTTACATCGTCACATGGACACAGACACAGGCATGCACCAAAACCAACACAACAACCACCTCCACAACCAGCACCACAACCAACAGTTCAAAACACTGCACAGCAACCAACACAACAACCAACAGTTCAAAACCCTGCACAACAACAACCACAAACAGAGCAAGGACATAAAAGAAGTAGAGAACAAGGAAACCAAGAATTCTTAAAAATGCTTAAAGAAGAGTGTGGTTTCCCAGATACTGTTGACTTTAGTGACAGATATAAAGAAGCTATTGGAAAGTTCAAGGATGGAAATACTGACCCGAACCTATTTAGCTTTATGGCTCAGCACCAAAACGGATATAATCTCAAACCTGGAAAATACAAGCTCGCTAAGGGATATGATTTAATAGCATATCATCCAAATGACATGGATGAATTTACTCCGAGATATTTGATGTCAGAGCTAAATGACAATTCAACTTTCGTCATGAAACGCGTAAAAAATAGAGACGGAACGAAAGAACAAAAGCTTATGAATGCGGATGACGTAGATAGGGAAATTGTTGAAAACGGTCTCGGAATATATGAAATGCCAGCAGATGAGGTACAAGAAACTCCACAGGAAGAAGTTCAGATACAACCAGACATGGAAGAAATAGTTCAGCAACAACAGCTAGAAGAGCCTGAAGGAAACGAACAAGTCCTTCCTTTGGAAACTAACTTCACAGAACTAGATGAAGATTTGGAACAGCCGAAAAATCTTGACCCTCAACAAGAGCATGAGGTGAATATGGAATCTTTCCAAGAGTCTAAGAAAGATTCGGCTGACATAGTAGAAGAATATCGAAAAATGTTTGCCGACATACAAAAGACTCCAACACCAGATGAAAATATTCAGCATAGAATGAAAGTACTGAAAGAAAATGTACACAAATACAACAACCCTTTTTACTTACGAGCATTTAACGTTCAATCTTCGGATGAACTCGGTGAAGATAAAAGGTTAAATTTCAAGAAAACATATAGAAATGAAACATTGTTTAAAGTTCATTCAGAACCTAGCCAAGATGGAAACAAACCTACTTTTGTTTCTGCAGACGATGGAACTACAATGAGATGGGGTCATAAAGCTAATCCGATAGGTGGTTCATAAACTTACAACCACAATTCCAAGAAGTTGTAGACGCAATGGAAGTCAATGGTGAACGAGATATAGCTGGTATTTTAAGCGCGGCTTTAATGCCATTGAAAGATATGAAACATGCAGATATTTTGGACCAGTATGAAATGAACATGGCTGATGGAAATATAACACCTGACGTTCTAGAACATTTATCTCAAAGAACTACACAGAACCATAGAGATGGTATATTTGGTGAAGAGTTTAGAAAGAAAGTTAGGGAGAGCGAAGGAAGAGAACCTATTGTACATGACCTTGCAAATGAAAGTTTACAAAATGTCATAAAAACTTACTTTGCAGACAATGAACCGAGAAGGGATGAATATTTAAGAAAACTCAAATGGACAGTACCAAATGAAATGTTAGTATTGAAAAACATGTTCCTTGACAAAATAAAACCAACTACAGAAATAAACGACGCAAGACTGAAAGATTGGGTAAAGCTTTCCCATTCACAAAAGATATAGTTGGTAACATGGAAAGAAAACCAGAATGGCTACAAAAACATATATTTGGAAACGAGCTTATTCCATATGGACAGCTCTGTTTGAAGAGCTTGAACCAGAAACTCAGGAAAGAGTCATGCAAACAATACGCGAAGACTCAAATACAGACTATGACAAACTCTTTCTAGGATATAGGTTACCTGAGATGGGCGACCAGAGCCAAAAGGCAAAAAGGACATGGGAAATTTGCAACATACTAGATGAACATAATGCAAAGATGCAACAACTTCAAGCAGAGGGCAATGAAGGAAAAAGAAGAGTTAAAAACTCAGTCAGGAAGAAAGTAAAGCTTGGTCCACGTGGGTTCTATTATGACATATAAATCCAACTATTCTATATTTTTACTCATATGAAATGTACGCCGCTCAGAATATAACGCCAACAGTTTTGGATGCCATGAATGGAAATGTTTCCGAATGGTATAACGAATGCGACAATGCCATTAGAAGGTCAGAAATAGTTCCTGGAACTTACGAATATACAACTGCTGTTTCTTATGGAAACGTAGGTGAGTTTGGAGAAGGTTCTTCAACAACAGTAGATATTGCTTGCGACAGGTTTCATATAATTTCTATTGACAACTCTTTCTTATACGTGGAACAAGACATTGAAATAAAACCTTCTGCCAAGTTGTCTGACAAGAAAGGTTGCAATGGAATTTTCTATGTCGGATACCAATATGCTCCAGAAGTTTTCATGGGATATAAGATATATTCTAACTCTGACTTAGTTCAAACAGTAACATGGGCAAACTATGAATGGTTCGCTTTGAGAAACTCAGTACAACCACAAGCTAGAGAACAAACAGACCAGTATGCAACTATTGAGAAAATAAGAAGACTTGACCCTAACGTTCCAGGAGTTTATGTTAACCTTTCTGGACAAACTGCAGCAGCAGTAACCAAAGTAAAATTGAAACTTAGAGTTCCTTTGTCATCTTTCCTCATCTTCAGGTTTTTAAGATACTTGCCAAACTGGGCAGGAAAAATTTCTATCGAACTTACTCCAAGCAAAAATAACTTAGTCATTGCACCAACACAAGACCCATTCACTCTTACAGAAGTAGTGGGAACAAATAAAATGTCATTCGCCGACTTTTGCAAAAACAAAGTTGACTTAGACTTTGGTTTCTCAAACCTCAACACTGAAGTAAACTATTATTTCAATGCTGCTGGAGATGCTTGGGACCCAGTTAAGTTCACATGCGAAAAGTTTGAATGCAAGAGAATAGAAAGCAGACTTGCAGTCTATATGTTGGACCCAGATATTTCAAATGCTTTAGCTGCCAAATATATTGCAGTTCCACTTATGTTCCCTATACACCAAATATCTGTCAAAGACTTTGCAGGTGAAGTTGGAAACCAAAGTGCTGACCCAGGTGCAAGAACAGATATTGCTTTAACAACTGCAATGAAACATGCAGATACTATGTTTGTTCTTTCAGACGAACTATAAATGACTATTCTTGCTTCTACAACCCTGGTATTAAATATCATATAAACATAGATGGCAAATATTATCCAAGAGAAGAATATTCTACAGTTGAGGATATGAGGTCATACAACTTGACATTAGATGCTATGAACTTTAACAACAACTTCACAACAACCATTAACCCTGAAATGCAAAGTTCTATTATGCCATATGTGAAAGTATGGACCCATACAGGAGCTCAAAACACTCAATATACAAATGGAGACCGTTCAAACTTTTGGCTTGGCATTCCATTTGCTGACTCAGAAGACTTTATGGGTGGTATTTCAACTGTTGGTACAGTTCAAATACAATATACTGGTGACAGAGACGGTCCAATGAATTGAAAGCAAAGAAGTTTACAAAACCAATAGCACTTTTCACGGAAGATGCTCTTTTGAAGATTCGTTCGATGAAACCTGCTGGGGCTCCTCAGATTGGCATAACGACAGCTTCCATCGAGCAGATTTTGGCAGCAGGTCAGTAAGTTGTTCTTGAACTGACTTCTCTCCGTCAAATATTGACAGTACGCCAGTTTTGACATAAAATTGTATTATAAACTTACCTTTAGAAATATCGGTCAGTTTTGTTGTTATATTTTTGTCTGCTTCAAGAACTTTCACCATTTCAGTTATACCAACTTTCTTTGCTTTATGAAAATATTTTGGTTCAGCAAAGACTGCTATTCTATAACATTTTCCATTGTTTGTGTAAAGAACTATTCTGTCAATGTATTTGTATTGTTTGTGTGTGTAAACTTTGTTTGCTTCAATTCGAAGAGATACTCGAATACGTCCATCTTTTTATTCTAAGTAAAATGTCATTTCCGAAAAATAGAAGCGTAAGTGTTTCAAAAGGTTTAATGGCGGTGGCAGATGTGAAGTTAAATTCACCAACTCAAACAAACAGTCAAAGTGTTGTTGTCAATGTCAAAGAAAGAGATGTTGAAGTGGGGAAACCATACGAAGACGAAGATGGTATAACAATAGTTCCTGTAAAAGAACAACCAACATACCCTGAAGTTAGCAGAGACTTAAGTTCTGTTGCAGATATTCGAAACGACTACCAACAACTTAAAGACAAACTTAAAACTCAGGAGAAGATTTGTCAAGCTTTGGGTATAATGTTAAACTTGGTTGAGCACAACCCTGTAAAAGTGAACTCATATGTCATCGCACCTCATGAAATTTTGAAAGAACTATTGAAACTTTTGACAGAGGCAGACGATATAAACATCAAAGAAATAGAACCCGACGTTAGTTGCTGTGGTGTTTCATATAATGTCATTGACAAGATATACGTTATGAAAGGAGGTGAAACGTTGAACTTAAAATATAGTTTCCCAGACGTCATAAAAATATTTGACGACCACAACATTTCATTAAAATTTACTTGCTAAGTAAATGGCAGAAGACATAGTGGTTTATACTATTACGACTAAAAACCCTGAGTCATATAATTCTATAACAACAAACTTACAAAGTCCTCAAGGACGATATTGTAAACTGACCTTAAACACGATGACGACTAAAGCCTGTTTTGCTCTTTTGACACCAGAAGACTTTGTTGTTGTGAATGGTAAAAAATACTTCTTTGAAGATACTTACTCAGATATACCACCAACAGGTTTTGTTGACTTATTAATACTTTAAGGACGGATGTAACATGTGCTGCAACTAGAGCAGTTTCATTATGTTTGGATGTCCGACTGAGTTTACTATAAACGATATGAGCTATAATACAAAACTTATATCTGGTTTTTACTACCAACAGTTCCTATAACAGGAAAAGGTGTCATACAAGGTTTGTCTGTTCCATTGACTTTAAGTAACCAATCTTATATATTGTTTCAAACTTAGGTTCAAAGTGTTATTCGAATGTCGACAGAAACTACTATGACCAAAAGATACTCATGCGTATAAACAACACTTTCTCTGCTGGTTTGCCTATTGTTCATTCGAATGCAGAGTTTTCAGCTTTAGTAACTCAAACACTTTAGCAAACATAAACTTAACCTTAGTTGACGCAAAACTTTGTTCCTGTAAAACTTTTATGTCCTATGTATTTGTCAATGACGGCAGAAAGTTTCGAATTGGAAGATGCAACTGGTGAAAGTATTGTACTACAAGAACAACTTCAACAACAAATAGCTCAAGAACAACAAATGCAACAAATGGAACAAATGGAACAAATGCAACAACAAAGTCAAGAATAAAAAAAATATTTTTTTTATTTTTATAAAAATGTACAGAATAGACGTTTCAGATTTTTATGACTTCCAAGCGTTCAGAAATATGTGTCCATTTAGAGACTATAACAAAGCAGTCGAGAATTTGAAACGTTTAGTCATTTATGTTGACTCTGCCCCAGAATGTTATGTTATGAAAGAATGGGATGTTGTCTTTAACAAACCAAGAGCAACCATAGTTTCAGAACAAGAATGTAGACAGAAACTTAAGAAAATAAAAGTTGTACAAGTTGGCATGAAGATGTTAGATGCTTGGGATATCTTATTGTCAAAGTTAGAAGATTTTTCAGTTCGTGGTATAAAGTTCTATACACCATCTCCAAACTTCTATTCTATCTTCACTGGATATAAATACGAACAAGTAGAATGGAAAGAAAATGTTATAGAAGCTTGGTTAGACCATGTCAAAGAAATTATATGCAATGGAAAACGAAAGAGTCTATGAGTATATCTTATGTTGGTTTGCAAACATCTTACAACATCCAAGTGCTAAAAATGAAACTGCTCTCATTATAATTGGAAAACAAGGAACTGGTAAGAACACTTTCTTTACAGATATCTTATGCAAACTGTTAGAGGGCTATTCGAACCCGAATATGACAAACTTAGAAAACATCTGCGGTAAATTTAACTCTTCAATAGAGAATATGAAACTTATAGTATGTAACGAACTTCAAAGTATAGATACAACAAAGGTTTTAAACTCAGATGCTTTGAAGAGTCTTATAACAGACAAAGTTGGAGTTGTTGAAAGAAAGTATAGAGACCAAAGAGTTTGTGAAAATGTTGCAAACTTCGTCATGGTTTCAAAACAATGTTGTTCCGATGAAGTTAGAAAGTTCTGACAGAAGATATGTAGTTGTCAGAACGTCAGATTCTCATATGCAAGATACAGAATATTTTGACGACTTAGCAGAAACTTTGACACCTAACTTTTACAACCACTTGTTCTCATATTTCATGACATTAGATATTTCAAAGTTCAATCCAAGACAAATTCCACATACCGAAGAAAGACAACATTGTTAGAAGCAAACAAGAGTGTATATGAACTGTTTATAGATGAGACTAACTTTGAGTGTTTAGATGAAAGGTCATTGTACGATGAATATAAACAATATTGTCAAGAATATGGTTATATGGCAGCGTCTAAACGAACATTCTTGGCAAATGTCAAAAATCTTTTAGATGTTCAGAATGGCGTATATACAAAGAAAATTTTTTCTGAGTAAATTTTAAAAAAATATTTTTTTATCCGATAGAAAAGATGACGAAATATATTTCAGTCAACAAATATATGTCAGGACTTAAAGAAGAACTAGACCCATTCATATATTTGAATGTTTACTTCTACCATTTTGAAAAGTCTACATTTGACAAAGTTTGGAACATCGAACCAGTTAAGTTTGCTATTGTGACTAAAAATGGTGCGAAATTTGAAGACTTAGACATAGAAGGTTTGTTAGCAGTCAAAGAAAATTTTGACAGAAGGTTCTCAAACCTTAAAGAAGGCAAAGCATACAAACTTGTTATACCTTATGAACCAAAGAAAGCAGACGACTATGAATATTATGAGTCAAGATAGTTGAAGTTCAAGGTAAATTGGGTAAAAAGATTTTAGAGTCTAAGCCAGTGTTTGCTCCTAAAGAGGAAGAGAACATTGACATTGACCCAGAAATGTTCTAAAAATAAAATTTTATTTTTACATGTCATATCTCACCTTCTCTGGAACTGGTTCAGGTTCTTTCTTCTCTTCTTCTACTTTCTTTTCTTTCTTTTCTCTCTTCTTCTTCTTCTCTGGTGGAGTTATGTCAAATTTCTCAGAACCATATTTATGTAAAAGTTCTTTGTCCTTTAATAGCTCATCTATTCTGTTTTCTATTTCATCTTCAAGAACAGCGCATGTGCCTTCTTTGCATTCTAAGAACTTTTGTTGGACTTCATCTTTCCAATCGGCGTCATCTCTGTCAACAAGTCTGTCATTGACAAATTTTAAGACTGCTCTTTGTAATGTTTTATGGTTCTTGTCATATTCCCAGAAACAGAACTTTAGAACAAATTCACCTTTCTTGTTTACACTATGTAAGATTTTATGGTCGACAGAAGTTTTAGAGTCGAAAAGCTTGTCTCGAATATAGATAGCGAAATCGCTAGACATTTTCTAAAAGATAAAAATTTTAATTTTTCTAAAAATATGTTAGAAAAAAAGTTTGCTGACATTGACAAGAAATTTGAGAATGTTTTGAAGAAGAACAAGAGGAAGTTGGAAAATGCTCAGATAAAACCCATACATGACAAGTTCTTATTTGCTCAGAATGGTATAACAGGTCTAATCGCACCACCTGGGTCGGGCAAGACTTTCACTTATCTTAAAATGGCTGCACAACAACAAGAACTAGATGAGAAGAACCCATTCTATGAGTTAGTTGTCATTTGTAGTACTTCGGGTCAATTTGACCAAACCGTCAATTCGTTCAAAGGTATTATAAAGAAGTCTAAGTTAGTATGTATAAAAGACTCTGAGTTGTTAGATTGGATAAAGAAGTACCAAAGAAGAGTTTTGAAGTACAATGCTATAAATGAGTATATAAATTCGAAGTTTAAAGACCCAAATGAGGAAATGCAGAGAATATTAGAGAAGAAACACTTCAGAAACAAACAGAAAGAGATAGAATACATTTCGAAGAAATTGCAATCGTACGATTGGAAGACTTACCCTCATAGATGTCTTCTTATCTTAGATGACTTTGCTTCTCATCCTTTGTTAAAGAACAGAGAACAAGACATGTGTCGAATTCTTAAGAAGCTCAGACACTTTAACATTTCAGTTGTCATTTGTGTACAGACAGCCAAGAGTTTAAGTAAGGATGTAAAGAAATACTTACTGATATCATACTTTTCCCTGGATTGTCCGAAGACGATTTCATGGAACTTATGAAAGAGTCCATGGCAGGTAAGTTTGACAGACATGAACTATGGGAGAAGTACAAAGTCATACAAGACCCTCATACTTCTTTCAGAATTCACATCTACGCGAACAAAGTTCAAATTGTAAAAAGTCAGGCTTGAAAATGTAAGTGTTTGAGTCTTAGTAAGTAAGTCTGTTGTGGTGCTGGGTCTGTCGGTTCTTCTGGCTTTGGAAGGCATTCAGGAAGAGGAACGTCAGTCATCCGTTTGTGTCTTAACCGTCTTTGTTCTGAAACAATATAATATTGTACTGAATTTATACAACATTGTCTTGAAAAAGTACAACATTGTCTTGAAAAAGTACAACATTGTCTTGAAAAAGTACAACATTGTCTTGAAAAAGTACAACATTGTTCTGAAAAAGTACAACATTGTTCTGAAAAAGTACAGCCGTACTCAAATTTGAGAGACATTGTACTGAATTTATACAACATTGTTCTGAAAAAGTACAACATTGTTCTGAAAAAGTACAATATTGTCTTGAAAAAGTACAACATTGTCTTGAAAAAGTACAACATTGTCTTGAAAAAGTACAATATTGTCTTGAAAAAGTACAACATTGTCTTGAAAAAGTACAAGACTTGTTCTGAAAAAGTACAGCCGTACTCAAATTTGAGAGACATTGTACTGAATTTATACAACATTGTTCTGAAAAAGTACAATATTGTACTGAATTTATACAACATTGTTCTGAAAAAGTACAATATTGTACTGAATTTATACAACATTGTCTTGAAAAAGTACAACATTGTCTTGAAAAGTACAACATTGTCTTGAAAAAGTACAATATTGTACTGACTCAGTATGGAGCTTGACCCCTTAGACGAAGCAATTTATCTAATTGAAATTAACGAGCTTGTTAAAGACTTCCTCAGGCAGAATGTAAAGGTCAAACTTGAAAAATAAAGATTGAAATTTACTCTACTTGTTTGAAGTTGTCAAAATACTCTGTTATTTTTTCCTTTAACAATGGCAAATCTTCTTTGAATGTAAGTATTGTACAACCTTTAATATCATAGTGTGTTTGAGGTAAAGTATCTTGAACTATTTGTTTCACATCTTCATTTGGTGTCATTGAAATCGGTAAGTTTTCGCGATAGAACCAATTTCTGTCAGATTTGTAAATCTTAGCAAGGTCGTAAAAGCTTTTGTTGTTTCTTCTGACTAAATGCAACATAACCATATCTCTGTCTTCTTCATTTTCCATCTCTTCAGTGTAAATCATATACTTATAGTTCTTTCCTTTTGGTACCGAACGTGGTATTCTTTTCTGTATGTTTTTGTCTTCTTTCATCATATCTTCTCTCTGCTTTGTACAAAGTTCGTCAAGAAGTTTACAAACATACCAAGCATAACGAGGAGAAGCCCACATTGCTATTGAACTAACTAGGAACTTATGAACATATATACCTTTTAGATGTGATGGTAAGTTTTGTCTGTCTTGGTACATCTTTTTAAGTTCTACATGTTCAAACTCACTGAGGAGTTCATGAGTGCTATTTAATTCAAACCAGTCGTCTGCGTGTTTAGTATCTGGAGCAAAACATGCTGTCAAAATACTTTGCATTTGGTACATGTCGTCTTTGACCGAACGAATGAGACGGAGTTGTTTGTTAAACTGAACCCACTCATATTCTTCATTTATAGCTTCATGGACTATAACTGTTGTTGTGTTCTCTGTTGTTGACATATCTGTCTTTACATACAAAATAAAAAAAATATTTTATAAAAAACTAACTTTATTTTCTGACTTTCACAAAAGACCAAAAATAAACGCTTTACATGTATTTTTCAGCAACTTCGTCAAATAATTTTATAGCTTTATCTATCTCATCTACTTCAAACGTTTCTTTACCTTTTATGGGAGCACCATACATTTTCTCAAACTTTTCAAGTAGTTCTGTTTCTGCAGCTCTCATATCATAAACGAACACAACCTTGACTCTATTGACTGTACTGTCATATCTTTGAGTTATATTATATGTTCTTCCTATCTTATATCTTTTTGTGTTGAAGTCCTTCGGTTTCTGAACGATGTAAAGTAAGCCTTCACTGCAACGTTCCGTATCGAATGAACCATATGTTATGAAGTTATATCCAACAACTGGGTCAATCCATAACAAAACTATTGGTATAAGACTTTTGTCTATAAGATATGCTGTAGTTCCATAGAATCTTACCGATATCATAAGCTCAGGATTTCTTGTCAAAATTTTCTGAGTTGAAGCAATTCCAACCCAATGCCATGTTTTCTTTCCAGATGGAGATATAATGTCTGACAAAGAATATTTTTTGTATTTCTTTGAGTATCTTACGTTTAAATCACCTATTCTAACCACTTTGGTGTCATTGTCTATCTTTTTAACTGTTTCAAACTCAGTGTTTGTCATTTCCTGTTCTTACATACAAAATAAAAAAAAATATTTTAAAAAAACTAGCGTTAATTTTAATTTTTCTATCTTAAGGAAATTCATGATTTCATAGAATTTTTTTACGAAGTGTAAAAGTTCTCTTCGTCAAAAATAACAGTTATATAATGAAATTTGGTCATTTTTTCAGCAAAAATATATTTTAGGTGAAGAGGTGAGATTTCACCTGTTTTTTCACCTCTTTTTTCACCTCTTGAATTTTGTATAAAAGATATGATTTCATAGAATTTTTTTACGAAGTGTAAAAGTTCTCTTCGTCACTCATAACAGTTATATAATGAAATTTGGTCATTTTTCAGCAAAAATATATTTTAGGGTAGAAGGGTAGATATAACCTGTTTTCTAACCTCTTTTCTACCCCAGTTATTTTATAAGCGTTTTACATGGTAAACATTGTGAATTCGTGAAATTCTAAACAATTTCGTAGCTTCTATTTCTTCTGTCAGTACATCGAATGTTTTAACTATGCCGAATGTTTCTTTATATTTCTTCTTGACATCTGAAAGAAGGAAATCGTCAGCTGTTGGATAGTTTTTGTTCAGAAATTCTAACATGTTCATTTTATTTTCTGCTGGCTTTTCTGCTTCTTTCTTTAAGTCTGCATAGTCGTTTCGCATACGTTCTATCTCTTTGACGGAGTAGTTATATTTCCTCATTGCTGCTTTACATTTTGAACATTGCGGGTTCATTTTAGCATTGTACATTGAAATCTTACCTGCAAGTACGACTAAGGCGTCAATGGTTTTCTTTAAATCTGAAGCAGTTGGTCTTATCTGTTCGTTCCATATTTTACCCCTTCTGTCTTTATCTCTTATCTGCCATACACATTCAGCAACTAACGAAACAAAGTTGTCGTAGGTCTTAAACTCCCCAGATTTATATATGTCAGAAACATTCTTATATACCATGTCGCAGTCTTTGTCCATGACTTTGTGGTTGCAATGAAATCCAAGAAACTCATAGTTTACCTTACGTATGAACTTCTTTATTTCTACTGAGTCAGTCAGTCTGACTTCTATTTCATCGAATTCAGGAATAGTAAGCTTTTGTTGTTGTATTTCAGGAAGTTTAGGTAAATGGTCAATAATGTCCTGCATTTCATAAAGATACTGTTCATTTGTTTCATCTTTTGCAGTGCAATCTAAATCTCCTTGGAGAAGTTCTTGCTTTATCTTCTGGATTTTTGTTTCGAAAGTATATGAAGAAGGAATGAAGCTTTTCATCTCTACTAACATAGAAGTTGGGTTCATGACTAACGAGTTTGGTGCTGTTGTTGCTAACATGTTCTTACAATAAAAATAAAAAAATATTTTATAAAAAACTAAAATATATTTTTTATCTTAAGGAAATTCATGAAAATTCAAGAGGGTGAAAAAACAGGTGAAAAAAGAGGTGAAATCTCACCTCTTCACCTAAAATATATTTTTGCTGAAAAAAATGAGTTTTGGTTGAAAAAACAGGTGGAGCCAAAAGTGGCTCGACCTCAAAACAAGCATTTTGTGAAGAATATACCAACCGGCGGAAAACAGCGGGTTGCTTTTTATACAAAATTCAACAGGTGAAAAAACATGTACGTTCATGTTTGACAAAACATATACGAAGAAGTCTTGACAAAACATGTACGAAGAAGAAGTCATGACAAAACATTTACGAAGAAGTCTCAACAAAACATTTACGATGAAATCATGACAAAACATATACGATGAAGTTTATTTCCTGTGTTGTTGTCAAAATGTCATGTTGTCACACTTTTTCAGAGAAGTTAAAATGACCTGGGGACCGAGGGACCTGGTGACCTGGTGACACCTAAAAACCATCTACCCTAAATTTTATTTTCTATCTTAAGGAAATTCATGAAAATTCATGAGGTTAGAAAACGGGTTAGAAAACGGGTTAGATCTAACCTTCTACCCTAAAAGTATTTTTCAATACTTTTTCAGCACTTCTCCGTAGTTATATATGAAAGACAATTCGAGATAAAAGTCGTAGTACAATGGAACAATATGTTGCACACCATTTGTTGTGAACCAAACTTGAAAGTCAGAGAAACTGTTACTCGGTGGTTCGTAGAATTTAGAAGCAAAGTCATAAAAGTCCTTACCAATACAAAGAAAACTATTGTTGCTTGAACTAAAACTTGCATGACACATAACATTTTGAGGGTCAACACGTTTCTATAAACTGTCAAATCTGTTGTGGGCGTATAAACCAGAACGGACCGTCAGGTGGTAATGGTTCGTTCTGGTTTAGTAACCGAAGAAATTGTGCCCAAGAACGTTTGTCTACTTGCCAAAATAAAAACTGTGTATCTCTTGGAGGGTTATTTTCAATCCTTTGAAATGAAACTGTGGAGTTCATCTTGTCATATTCTAGTTTCAGATAGTATGTTCCATTTAGTAAAGAGTCGTATTTTTCTTGAAATTCCCAGTAGTATTTGTTTATTTGAGTTTGAAAGTCATTTAGAGTTTTTTCAAGATTTTCGTCTGAACGAACTGTAAAGATTCTCATTTCATCAAATTTGTCTAGTAGACCATCATGACCT